CAAATAAAATGAACAATAATTAACAAAGAAAAAAGAAAAACAAATACAAAGTATTGAGCCAATAATTACAAAAAGAGCAAGTCTTGTTACAAAAAAAAAATCATTAATAGGAGGAACCAATGGTTGACCACCGTAATAGCATACAAATGAAAAGTTAATACAATGATATCATTTCATTATATACTTTTTCTTGGATTGCATAAATAAATCAACCAAATAAAAATTTCAACACACTTCATATTATAAGTAATAATTACATTCAACTTGGTCACTATGACGTGGCACAAAGAAACTAATGTGGCAAAATAAATTTACAAAAAAAAAATAATATGACATGTGAGCATCATGTCAACACTATTAATGATCAATTTAGTTTCACTTGGAGCTAAGAGTTTCCAAATTGTTCTTCACTGTTGTCCACTCCAACTAGTAAAGCACCCTGGTCCTCACTCATTACAAGCTTCAAACGGATTAGATTTAATCTGAATTGGGGATGTTTTGCTATCCTATGCAGAAGTTATTACATCTCAAGACCGTAGTTACTTAATCACCTCTAAATGAGGACAGTGCTTGACTAGAAGGTTCATGCATTCCAGGCTCAAACAAGGCAACCTTAGAAGAACGCATCCGACTAGCTTGTTAATTACCAGAACATTACATACCAACTTTATTGGGAAGCAGACACTTAAATTTTATTTAGCGAAAGTAGCTACTGGCTAACAAGGCTAGTTGGATAGTTCATGCATAAATTTATACTTTGTGCTTCCAAGGGAGTTATTCTTTCGCCTTAGATGCTTTGATAAACATGAATGGCCATCCTCCGGGACTGAGAGCCAAGCGCCTCAGTCCATCATAAGAATATCTACCAATATCTTTGCATAAAGTTATGCACGAATCACAGACTGAAGGACAAAATGTAAGCTTGTAAACCCTATCCATCTCGGGTCCAACTTTCTCAATCTTAAACCAACTCATCAAAGTGTTAGGACCAGGTTCACCTCTAACCGAACCAGTCGTAATCCACCATTTTCCCGTTGAAGGGTCATAATTGTCAAGTTTCCACTGAGTGGATGTCTGGCAGTAAGCGTCTAAGCCAGCAAGGCTTGGACCAAAGCATGTAAAGCCCCTGTCAGTACCAGTCACATTTATACAGATACACCATCTGCCCATTAAAGCACATAGAGGCAATTATTTCAGTTGTTGTGGATAATTTCAGATAATTAATAGCTTGATTTTGGGGCTACGTTTAGCATTTCAGGTTGGTTTAGTCACTAGAGGTTTTTGGTCGAAAATCCAAAATTTCATCCTAAACTGTTTGAGTACTTTTCAACGGTAGATTCAGTCAAAAATACTATTTGATTTTTTGAGAAAAATAAAATATTCATTAACTATAAATCATATTTTTTGTTTGAAATCCGTCATGAAAAATTCATCGATAATCAAACGAAATCTATTTGAAATGAAGCTTTTTTGTCTAGCCATTGACCTATTTTTGTAAAGTTTCTTAAGCAATACCACACAACCTTTCCAAAAAAAAAAAATCTAACTAGAGAGAAAGATGAATGATCATTTAACAAACTTGTGTCAGTTGGCATATTGTTGTAAAATAGAGGAGGCCAATCATCACAACACACCATAGCTACATGTTTCAAGCTCTTGGAGAGCAATTCTTATTTATTTCAGTCCACTGTAGACATTTTGGTATTTGATGTATTTGCAGGACAAATCAGTCCCACTTTATACTTGAACAGGGTGATAGAATAAAACTCAACAAAGTATAATCTACCTTGGCTCAGCCACTGGCGGGTATGCGGTTGCTTATTTAACCAATTGTGGTGTATCGAGAACACAAAAATAATTTTATATAGGACGGAGCTAGCCAAATTTTGTTGGGGGTCAAATACAGAAGAATAAAAGTTAAAAATTTTAAAAAAACTAATATGTTAAATTCAATCAACGATAAAAATATTGATAATAGAAATATGAAATTAAAAGTAAAACTATAATTTGTAAAATATAAATAGTTAAAAATGATATATTAGATTAATAAATTTTTTATATAATTAGAATTATTTAAATACTATATATTCAAGATAATTTCATTTCAATTAAATATAAAACATAAAGCATTTGAAAAAAGTATACTCAAGTTAATTTCCTCTTACATAATCAAGATTAATAAAAATATGATAGATTGATAAAATTTTAAATAACAATGTAACATTATAACTTATATTTGATAATTATATAACTTATTAATTTTTAAAAATTAAAATCATAGAAAATAAAATCTATGTAACATAAAA